TAATTTTGGTTGGAAGTAATTATGTGAATAAACTTGGTACTGTGAAATTCTTTGATATTTAGGAATGTGCATGTTCTTTTGAATTATTTACCCCTGGAAAGGAGCAAATGGCCAGTGGACATGGGCATTTTGCACCCTTTTGAGTGCTAATATATTGATACTTCAATACTAGAAATATAATCTTCCCCTAAATCTGATCCAATGAATAGATTTAACAACACTTGAAAAATCTGAAGGAATAATGTATAGGTGAAATCTACAAATGTATATTTGGAAAGTTTCTTTATAGAAACATATGACTAATAAATTTATTTCTCAAGAAACAGGCATAGCTGCCACACTAGTTTTAACTGTGCAAATGCACTCTTGGACACAAAACAGAAGATTTTAAGGGAGCTATCAGTGTTGAACCTCTTTGGTGAATAAAATCCAGCACCCTGGATAGCTTCTACAAAATTTTCTAATAAAACCTAGCTTAGATTCATCACCCAGAAACAATGGAAGTACTGGACATTGCTGCAAGTAGTTTGCCACATTTATAGTTGAGCCATTCTATGATGCAATTTTTTAAAATACTTTAGAATACTTTGATGGAATTTGTGACCAATAACTCCCTTTTTTTTTTGTTTCATTTATGCAGTAAGGTTTGGAAGGAGTTATTGAAGACTATAATCTTCTAAGTAGGGAGGCATGAATCAGCTGGAGGAAAGTTATTCCACTTAGTACATAAGAAAATCTAACATATATTATATAAAATTACTGTAGAAAAATACATCTGACATCATTGAAAGAGAAAGCTTAAAACACACTTGGGTCCAAAAGACATTGCAGAAACAATCCAATCTGAGATCACTTTAACTGCGCTGACTCAATGCTAAGGAATTATGGGAACTGTAGTTTTGTGAGACATTTAGCCTTCTCTGTCAGAGAGAGTTCTAGTGCCAAAATAAACTACAATTCCCAGGACTCCCTAGCACCAAGCCAGGGCAGTTAAAGTGGTCTCAAATTGGATTATTCCTGCATTGTGTTTTGAGCATTTGTTGTATACCTCTGCTCTTTACAGACAGCTAATTTGGCAGTATTTTACATTACTGAAGTAGTTATAAATGTTATATTTTCTTGGGAAGTAAATAAATAATACATTATTAAGGATTCTGTATGGTGTGGTGTTAGGCCTGAGTGGCGTAGTGGTTTAGGCATTAGACTAGGATACTGGGAGACCAGGGTTCGAGTCCCGGTTCTGTCATGGAAACCCACTGGGTGACCTTAGGCAAGTCACACACTCTCAGCCTCAGAGGAAGATCTGAGGAAGTAGACTGAAGCCTATGAAGGCTCATGCTGCCAACTTCTTTCTTTCAGTGAGTCTCAAAGTGTTACAAGATTTTTCTACATTGTTATTGTTGTTATTATTATTATTCTACCCAGATACATATGAGGAAGTAGACATAGGGCCTAAGCAGACTGCCAGAAATAGTGCACATTAAATTGAGGCACTGCCCTGGCTCAGTGCTAGGGAATCATGGGAATTGTAGTTTATTGTGGCACCAGAGCTCTCTGACAGAAAAGGCTCAATGTCTTAGAAAAAAATACAATTCCCATGATTCCCTAGCACTGAGCCAGGGCAGTGCCTCAATTTAAAGTGCACAATTTCTGGCAGTCTGCTTAGGCCTTTAAGTCTACAAAGGCTCATGCTGCCAACGTCTTTCTTCGTTAGTCTCAAAGGTAATACAAGATCTCTCTACACATCATCATCATCATTATTCTATCCAGATGCATCTGAGGAAGTAGACCAGTCTACGAAAGCTCATGCTGCCAACTTCTTTCTTTCCGTGACTCTGAAAGATCTCTCTCCACATACTGATCCTACAGATTGACACTGCTATATCTTCGAGTTCAGCCTCAGAGGATGGCAATGGCAAACCTCCTCTGAAGAAACCTTGCCAAGAAAACAGCCCAGGATAGGGGAATCGGAATCGACTTGAAGGAACACAAAACAACAACAGTGTAGTATGGAGGGAGAGGCCTGGGGAGGCTGGCCCCTTCTTCCAGGCATCATCTTACCCAGAGTGCTTCGGCCACAGCCTGTTCCAAGGCCTCGCTCTCCAGGGGCTGACCGGCCCCAAGCTTTTCTAGGAAAGGCCTGTAGTCACGCAGCAGTTGGGAGGCCCAGGCCCGGGAGCGACACTGCACCCGGGGGTCGCGAGGGGAAGACGACGAAGGCGGCGGCGACGACGGCGCCATCTCCATCTCGGCCGCTATTTCCCGCTCTCTCAAAACCGTTCCACAACACGGCCCCGCCCTAATCCCAGAAGCGGAAGTAAGCCGGACGGTATTGGCCGTGGCACACTGAGGCGTGAAGGCGGGCGAAGGCTGAGTCCGTTGGCAAAATAGGTCCGGCTAGAAACTGGGGGCCCTTCGGTTTTAGTTCCGGGATGGGGGCGGTGGATTGCCATTGTCACCTGGCGGCTCCCGAGTTCGAAGGGGTGAGTCTGGGAAGGGAAGGGAAGGGAAGAGGAAAGGCGGCTCCACTCTGGACACAGCGGTGGGCCTCCTTGGAGGATAAGCCTCGGCCTCCATTTCCCCTCAGGCAGGGCTTTCAGTATCCTGTTTCCCACAGCGGAGAAGTGGACGCCTCTCTAGAGAGCGAGGCTTTCAAGCAAAGGCTCTTTTTTCACAGCTGGTCTTCTGGCATTGACCTAGTGGCTTCCCTAGGGTTGGTCTCTCTCTCTCTCTCTCTCTCACACACACACACACACACACACCCCTATTGACCTCCTCCTCTTCCTCCTCCTCCTCTCATTTCACATCATACAGAATCCTTAGCATTTTTTGGTACGAATTGTGCAAGAATTGCATTCTACACTGGGCAAACAGGGCATTCCCTGCGCCAGAGGATCAATGGATATAAATTAGACATTAGGAATGGGAATACACAAAAAACCAGTGGCAGAACATTTCAATCCCCCTCGGCATTCCATCTCAGACCTCAGAACAGTGGTCCTTGAACAAAAGAACTACAAAGGTAGATTGGAAAGAGAAACAGCAGAATTTGAATTTATCCACAAACTACAGTCCCTCAGCAATGGATTGAACAAAGACAATGGGTTCCTTAGGGCCTGAAGAGACTGCCAGAAATAATCCAGTTTGAGACCACTTTAACTGTCCTCGCTCAATGCTAGGGAATCATGGAAATTGTAGTTTTTTCTGAGACATTAAGCCTTCTCTGTCAGAGAGCTCTGATGTCACAATAAACTACAGTTCCCATGATTCCCTAGCACTGAGCCAGGACAGTTAAAGTGGCCTCAAGCTGGATTATTTCTGGCAGTCTGTTCAGGCCCTTAGAGCATTTTAAAGGGAAGCAGGTGAGTGCCACAGCCCGTTTCTGCCCAAAAGTAGGTGTTTGAGGAGAGCTGGTGTCACACACACCCCCCCGTCTTAAGGTGTCACCCGGTGTGGCCTGCTCCCCTGCACCCCCCTAGTGACACTACTGCATTGACCAAGGTATTTTGGCTAACTCGCACTCAGCCTCAGAGGAGGGCAATGGCAAACCCGCCTCTCTGATGAAACTGGTCAAGAAACTCCCATGATTTGACAGTTCTCTTAAGGTCACCATAAGTCGGAAAAGTCTTGAAGGCACACAACAACAACATATGGAAGCCAGAGTGGTGTTGTGGTTTGAGAGTTTGACTATGACTCTGGAGCTGCTGTTGTGTACCTTCAGTCCAAAACACACTGCAGGAATAATTTAGTTTGAGGCTGCTTTAACTGCCTTTGCTCAGTGCTAGGGAATTCTGGGATTTGTAGTTCTGTGAGACATTTAGCCTTCTCTGTAATTAACAATTAACCACAATTCCCAGGATTCCCTAGCACTGAGTTAGGGCAGTTGAAGTAGTCTCAAACTGGATTAATTCTGCAGTGTGTTTTGGACCTTCAAGTCATTTCCAACTTCTGGTGACCCTATCATGGGATTTTCTTGGCAGGTTTCTTCAGAGAGGGATTGCCATGGCCATCCTCTAAGGGTGACAGAGTGTGATTTGCACATGGTCACCCAGCAGTATTTGAACCCTGGTCTCTAGAGTCATAATCCAACTCTCAAACCATCATGCCATGCTGGTTGTCAGTAGACCAGGATTTAATCCCCAGCTTGGCCATAAAACCCACTGGGTGACCTTTGGCAAGTCACATGCTCTCAGCCTCAAGGGAAGGCAATGGCAAACTTTCTCTGAACCAATCTTGCCAAGAAACCCCCATGATAGGATTGCCTTAGTGTCGCCATAATTTGAAAACCATTTGAAGGCACACAAGGATGACACAATATTAATTTTAGTTCCCCATTACTGTTACTAAAGATAGTGGCTATCTACGCATCTCATGGCAGTAAATGCCACAAACTGCTCTCCCAAAAAAAGAATATTCAAAGACATAGCCGTGTTAGTCTGGGAAATCAGTACGCAAACAGATCTTGCATCACCTTTGAGATTAACTCAAAGAAAGTTGATAGCATGATTTTTCCTGGACTTGAGCCTACTTCCTCAGATGCATTTGATCAAATCAGGAAGTAGACTGAAGTCTACGAAAGCTCATGCTCCAACTTCTTTCTTTCAGTTAGTCTCAAAGGTGCTGCAAGATCTCTCTACATACTGATTCTGCAGACTAAGGAGATTAGCGCACAGTTTTAAAAAGTGTTTTACCGCTGCTGAATTCAATCCTAATTCAGGCTACAACCGGGTATTTTCAGATGTATTTTGCCACCAGTGCTGCCGGCCAGGTGCAGTCTTGGTAATGTCCAGGTAGAATCTGAGCTCAGCTGGCCAATTTGCAAAGCTGAGAGCTTTCCACTTTTGAAAACAGGCTGGCTGTGCTCAGATTCTACCCGGAAGTTACCCAGGCTGCACCTGGCCGGCGACTTTGGCAGCAAAATATGTCTGATAATACCCGCATGCAGCCCGAATTAGGAATGAATTCGGCAGCAGTAATATGTTTTTTTAAGCTGTGCACTAATGTCCTAAAATGGCTATATCTTTGAAAAAAAGAAGTTGGTAGACATGAGCCTACTTCCTCATATGCATTTGAGCAGGGTGACTAGATGTCCTAACCACAAAGGAGGACAAGGCACTGCAGAATGTAGGGCATCCAAGAAAAATGTAGGGCATTTGTATTATTTATTTTTTCAGCATATCTTGACCACTGAAAAAGACCTAGTGTTGAAACACGTTTGGTCATTATTATCCATTTCCCATTTGTAAGAGGTTTGTACTGTTATCCCTCCCTTTTGTACTTTTGGAGCTGTTATATACTTGCCTTATATGTATTTTACATGTAAAACATCTCCCTTCACTTTGTTTATGGGTTGGGATATATAGTATCTGAGCCTAGCACGTATGGTCATTATTATCCATTTCCCACTTGTAATGGGCTTGTACTGTTATCCCTCCCCTTTGTACTTTTGGAGCTGTTATACACTTACCTTATATGTATTTTACATGTAAAACATCTCCCTTTACTTTGTTTATGGGTTGGGATGTATAGTATCTGAACCTAACGTATTGGTCAGATTTAGCATTTTTAATGACTGGTTTGAATAGTGTTTTACCTTATATTTGGGTTCTGCACATAGAACCTTGGATTCATATTTGCCTAACCAATTGGCTACATTTTTAACTTATTATTTTATTTATTACCTTTTTTTAAGTTTGCTCTCAATAAAATTGAGACAATTTTTGAAGTCTTTTCCCCTAGACTTTCTTGATTTGACAGTTTTCTTGAGGTTTAGGATCACACCTCTCTGTTTTGTCAAATTACAAATCCCAGCATCCAATAGGATGGAGCTACAGCACTTAAAGTGGTGTCATGCTGCATTATTTCTGAAGTGTAGTTGCACCCCTAGTGGCGGTTGAAATCCTATATATAGTTTACATGGGAGTCTTATTAAACTGGTGAGACTTGCTCTTGAGTTGACATGCATAAGAAGGCACTGTAATAAGAACCAGTGGATTGGTTATATAACATGTACGTTGGGCTGGAAATTGGGAAAACCCAGGGTCAGGTCCGCACTCACAATGGGATCTTGGTCCATTCACTCTCAGTTAGCCTTACCTCAGGGGCCAGATAAAGTGCAGATAAGGAAAGACATCCCTTAAGCTTATTGGAAGGTAGAAGGGATATTGATTAATTAATATTTATTTGGAACTCTCATATCATTCAGTTTTTATTGATTTATTTAGTATGTACCTGTGTTACTTTCAT